TCTAGCCTATGGCACGCTTGGAGCCTGCATGTAGCCGTGTCGTTGTTCAGCAGCCTGCAGTGCTCTGCCAACCTGGGGACTTAAAATGGAGTTAAGTTAATGGCCTGCCGTGTGGTCTGGTAACATCGATACTATATCTTTTTACTTCTCAACCCTGGGGCTTCTCAGCCTCAGCAGCCAGCAGCTGTCTGAGTGAAGAAAGGCCTCTAGCTCCAGTGGTCTGGGAGCAGGAGGCAGAGCTGAACCCCAAGGTTGAGGGGCTTTCATCCAGCCCCTAGAGCCTGGCACTTTGAACTTGGACTTAAAGCCTCCACACTGTAAGAATAAACTCCTGTTTGTTAAGGCCACCCCATTTGTGGTATATTTGGTCAGAGTGGCACTAGGGAACCAGAACAATGCCATTCAGTGAGTTTCAACTCATAGTGACCGACCCCATGTATAACATAACGGTACCCTGCCTGGTCCTGTGACAGCGCCACAATCGTTTCCATGTGTGAGCCGACTATTGCAGTTACTATGTCAATCCATCTCGTTGAGGGTGTTCCTCTTTTGTGCTGACCTTCTTCTTTACCACGGATGATATCCCCTTCTTCAGGGACTGGTCCCTCCTGATAACATGTCCAAAGCACCTGAGATAAAGTCTCACCGTCCTTGCTTCCAGGAAGCATCCAGGCTGTACATCTTCCAGGACAGATTTGTTCATTCTTACAGCAGATATTTTGGTATATTCGATATTCTTTGCCAACACTGTAATTCAAATGCATTAATTCTTCTTTGGTCTTACTGTCCAGTTTTCACATGTATATAATGCCACTGAAAGTACCATGGGTTGGGTCAGGTGTACCTTAATCTTTAAAGTGACATCTTTGCTAAAAACACTTTAGAGAGAGGTCTTTTACTTAGCAGATTTGCCCAGTGCAATATGTTGTTTGATTTCTTGACTGCTGCTTCCATGGGCGTTGATTGTGGATCCAAGTTAAATATCATCTTTGACAACTTTAATCTTTTCTCCATTTATCGTGATGTTGCTTATTGGTCCAGTTGTAAGGATTTTTGTTTTATGTTAGGATGTACGCCATACTGAAGGCTGTAGTCTTTGATCTTCATTAGTAAGTCTTTCAAGTCATCTTTACTTTCAACAAGCAAAGTTGTGTCATCAGCATATTGGAGGTTGTTAATGAGTCTTCCTCCAATTCTGATGCTGTGTTCTTTATATAGACGGGCTTCTCAGATTATTTGCTTAGCACACAGACTGAATAAGTATGGTGAACAGATATGACCCTGATGTACACCTTTCCTCCCATCCAAGTACTAACCAGGCCCGACCCTGCTTAGCTTCCGAGATCAGACGAGATCGGGCGCATTCAGGGTGGTATGGCCATAGACCCTTTCCTGATTTTTAACTCATGCAGTATCACCTCGTCCTGTCCTGTTTGAAAAACTACCTCCTGGTCTTTGTCCAGATTCCACATGAGCACAATTAAATGTCCAGGAATTCCCATTCTTCACAATGTTATCCATATATTTGTTATGATTCACACTGACAGGGTTGCATTTCAGAATAGATCTTGAAATGTCCTTTTTGACTATGAATACAACACCATTCCTCTTTCATTTGTCATTCCTGGCTCAGTGGACCACATGGGAAAATGGCAAGCCTCCTGCTATGGGTAAATCAAAATCTGGAAAAACTTTTCTCATTTTATTTTTTCCTCTTAAAATAGTTTCAAGTTTTCACTGGAAATTTTATACAAATTTATTTATATACTTAGCTCATTATTATTATTATTTAGGAAAAATATGAAGCCAAGAATTAGACAAGGAACCAAGAGATCTCAATTTATGGTAAGTTTTGCAGTGAAGTGTCTGCTGCCCCTCAGTTACATAAATTGCATCGATTTAAGCTTCATTATTACTGTTAGGCACATAACTCGTCTGCAAATAACTAGTGTATGTCATCAATTGGTTTTTGTTTACTGCTTACACTTCCATAAGCCATTACCCCTTTAAATTGTATTTGTTTAAATACCTATGAAGAGGAATAATTTTAAGTTTCAGTTGCTCAACCAGCTTTGCTGCTTTTAAAAGTATCCTAGAACATTTAAGGTTGTCTCAATTCTTATTCTAATTTCTGCCTTTTTGTTATACAGAGCACTGATATTCAACATTATCAAAATGTATTTCACACTACTTAGAATTTTAGAAAGACAGCATTCCTTCTATTTTCCCTTAAATATTAACATTTTATTTGGATACTGCAGTCCCTTCTTCAGCTATTTAACTAGCCTTCGCTTATCCAGATGTGTTACTTACTCATCTAGGCTTACACATTATTGATTTTCTTTAAGAATGGCAACGGTCATTTAATCTAGTAATAAATATTTGAGAAAATTAGAAAAAATTATCAGGATTTCAAAGTGTCCTTGGAAAGATAAAGGACTCAGCACCTTTCTTAATCTTACGCATTTCAATAAAATCCAGATTTCCTCACTCCATACCCCAGAGTTCGTAATAGTAACCAAATACACTCACCCAACTCGTGTCACAGATGATGCATATGTTAAAATACATGCACAGAGCCTCAGTTCATATTGATATGCATGAAAAACACACCTCTTTATTTAAAACAAATAAAGGAAAGCACCTCAGTGTTAAGAGAATATTCTCTGAGAACTCAACCCTTTCCTTAGCCACTTACAATACATCAGAAGATGCCATCCTTGAGATGTCAACAGTTTCCAAATAATGAAGACTCTTGGCTAGTGATTAAATGATGACATCCATAACCAAATGTGAGGTGTTTTAATTAGAGGATTTTCCACATAAATCCCTAAACTATCTAGTTTTATTAATTTGGTTATTCTAAATTGCCAAATTAGTCTGCAGTGTGCACAGTTATCTCACATATGCTTGAGAGTTAAAACAGTAACCCTACCGCTACCTAGTCCCATACTCTTCTGCACCGGGCCTAGGGCATTAACTTTCCTAGAAGCCACATCCCCACTGGGCTTTTCTTTGCACTGTGCATTACAATTGTATTAAAGCAGTAAGTCTTTATTAAAAACCACTTCACATACTTTATTATAAAAGTGTGCTTTATTATAAGGAAAATTTAAATATAACCAACAATACTGAAAATAATGTAACTGGCATTTACAGCCTTGGTTAGAGTTCTTTATTAAACAGGCATTTGTTTGCTATTTTATGAACAGTTAACAATCAGCTTATGCAACAAAACAGGTTACTTGAAAAGGTGATAGAGAATATCTAATTATGAACCAGAATTTTGGGTTCTTTGTATTGTTTGTTTAATAGACATGGCTTTTAAAATAAATCAAAGTGAAGCAAAACAAATCATTTTCATGTAGACAGCTATCTTTTCCAACAAAGTTTCATGAAAATGTTCTAAAATATGGCAGAAATTATACCTTTATATAATTTATAATTTTTTACATATACACCATCCAATTAACATATTCTAATCACATTTTCATATACAACTGGGACTATAAACATTCTCTAATAAGACCAAACTAGCCACAGAATAATTTTACCCATGTACATACATTTTTTGAAACATATTTCCCAACATGAAATTTCTCATTTCAAAGTGAACAACTGGTTAGAATTAGTATCTCTAGACACTGGTATCATGAGGGCCTCAAAGTCATGTCAGAGTATAATGCTCTGATCGACTATAATTGCATCTACAGCACAGTAATAAACACATTCAATCACCATACATAAGTTGGATTCAGTTTGCATTTTATGAACCTACATTAAAGCAAATGGTGAAGTCTAATATGTGATATGGAAAGAAACTGCTTTTGCCTTTGAATATGGCTTACTGTTGCTTATAAATATTTCTACCATCTTGGAGGACATTTTGAAAGGAAAAAAAAAAATTTTTAAAGACAAGGGAAAACTGGCTGCTGACCAATGAGATCCCAGGTTTGCAACCCTTCTAAGGAAAACCAGAAACTCACTGGGAGCAAATGTCTGCAAAGGGCTGTGTTGTATAGCCTCGTGAAAAATGAAGAAATACCTGTGGGCATGGTGATAAGGTATCCCAGATAATTTTTGGTATAGGAGGGTTTTGTTTGTTTACTTACTATTTCTAAGATCTTAAGCTTTTCCTAGTCAAAACAAAATGCCAGATTTAACAAGTTTAAATAGCTTATTTTAAAACTTCATCTGTGACTTAGAATGACAAACTCAAAATTCTAAAGGTTAAGAATACAGAAAATTATAAAATGAAAAAGGAAGCAAAGATACACGCTTGATGAGGAAAATAATGTGTCAATGGTTTCACATCAGAAAAAGATTCTTTTCCCTATTAGAATGACTACGTTGCCTGCAATTCAAACCACTGGAATATGTAGATTTCTAATATTATGACAGAGAATTCAAATGTACTTTATTGCAAAAATATCAAAGGTTTTAAAATTGCATATGATGTTCTTTACCATGTCACCAGTACGCCAAGGCCAGCATATAACTTATCAAGCCAGAAAAACTTTAAAACAAAAAGTGTTATGATTGTACTTACTATACAGAATGAGTTGTAAAAAGAATGTGATGCCATGCTGTGTAGCATGATTCATTGCCAAGTTCCCTCTTACATGGGCATAGTTGCTAACATCAATCTGAATAAGTCAAAATGAGCACATTGCCTATAGCATCCTTTAATTATCTTCTTCAACACTGATTCTTTTCACTGTATCACAATCATTTGAATAAAGTCAAATCCTAATTGTATGGAGTAGAAAGTCATTTTTATCAGTATTTAGAATTTTTTATGATCTAAGTACTTAGAAAGTGATGTTAAAGCCTATTGACTATTAAATCACTACTCTGTTTACTAATACATTGTAAAAGTAAAAAAAGGAAAAAAACCTGAAATCACAGAAAATGCTTGGCATCTACACACACACATTCTCAGTGGACTAACCACTACTGTGTATTTGTCACTATGGGTCTTCTTCCTCCATACTTTTGCTTCATGCAGTGGGTTCAACTATATCCATATTTGTTCCAAACAGGGCAACTAACTGTTCTTCATAGGTGGTGATGTTCCTTTTCATAATTTCCATGCAAGGTCCCAGAAGCCTTTCAAATGCTTGCACATCCATGGCTGAGAAAAGGGGAGAATTAAAGAAAAATAAATAATCTTTGCAAATCTGCAGAATTTCTAAGTCACTTATGATACCCATTCTGCGTATGTCAATAACACAGTGGGATTTTTAGATAAATATTGCAAAGTACAAGAAAAAAAAGCGTAAAGATCAAAACATCCCACTGCAAAAGGAAGCAGCCAGGGTCACCTCCAGCCATACTCTAAGCCCCCTCCACAGTACGGTGTGCAATGCTAGGCTGGTGGGAGGGTCCTGGTCCAGGCTGAGAAAATAAGAAATGACCGTCACGGTAAGGGCCTGAGATTTGGAAAAATAAATTCATTCTGAAGCCTCCACCTTAGTATTATGAACTCCTCAAAGGCAAGAAAGATGTTTGGATCTTGTTTTTCCTTCTTAGGGTTTCTAGTGCCATGTTGTGAAAACCAAATGTTAGCTTTTATAATTTTCGTTCTTTTATACTATCATCTGGTCATTTCAAAATGGCAGCCAAAATGCTTTCCGTTCACTCTGTCGGTATGTCACTTTGCTTGCCTGTCTCATGCATTTCAAAACTTAAATTACAGTACATACGTGTAAAAAAAATATCACACTCTCAAACATAAAACTGCAAATTAAAACATCTTTTTGCTTTTCAAATCTGCAAAGGTAAAAATGATGTATACAAAATAAGGTAAACAGGCATTCTTGCAGTGCTGGTAGGACTGTAAATTGGTACAAATAACATTTTAAAAGTAGTACAGCCATATATATCAAAAGCCATTAAAAACAACAAAACCAGACAATTCTGAAAACCGTAAGGAAAAGCTTTCTATACCCCAAAATAGTCCATGTAGCTTTATTTATAATACAGAATCAGAAACAAAACCCTCAAGATATTTACCAATGAGGAATGATTAAATAATTTTATATCCTAATAGGATATAAAAACTTCCTGTAATAAATGAGAATATACCTGAGCTATTTTTGGAGTTTTATAATGAATGAAAAAAGCATTAACAAAATTGTTTTAAATTGGCGAAACTTGTGTGAATATACGACACCAGAAGGACTACTTGACAGCAATGGCTCAATCACTGAGTTGGGGTGGTGTGGGCAAGTCTTAGTTTTTACTACATTTTTCTGAATTTCTCAAATTTTCTTTTATATAATTTATTCTAGAAAAAAATTAATGGAATTTCACATTACCTTTACTTTTACTGTCTAATCTCTCTACTCACTTAGGGAAATTACCTGTCAGTTTCTAATCGTCTTTTTTCCCCATTTGATTAATATTATACTTATTTCAAAACCTTTCAAAAATGGACTTCTCTAAGAAGTTGATTCTGAGACTCTTAATTCTTGAGAACATTAATTCTTAAGAATACTGAAACTAAGTTTATTCTATTGAAGATGAATTGCAGATGAAGAGCATCGAGAGGCTAACTACTATGCCATCAATTCTCTTATTTAAAGAAAATGTCACCCATATTGCCACTTCCTGAAGTGTATTTTTCATTGTTAAAGTAAGTTATTTCTCAGGTATAAAATCTGTGCTTCAGGGTGTGTATAGATGTCTTGCAGTTGAAGATGAAATTTCTGATATGCTCTTATGTGGTGTGAGAAATAAACAGCTAAACCACAAGGAAAACTCTGATTCTGACAAACCTGAGCCTCTGTTCTGCAGTGCCAGGAAGAGGACGCAGTCTCCGACACTCCAACTTGTCTGCAGCCCCTAAGGTGCTCTATACAAATGCTGCTGTGAACGTAATGTATGTTATTTATTTTAAAGATTAGATACAAAACTAGGTACTTGGAGTTCTTATTTTAAACACTCAAATAAGATGTTATTTTATGTATATACAAAAGAACAATATGGTGGGATGTGAAAATTTTCAAAGAAAATTACACACAAATTATTTTTATTGAAACCTAACCTTGTCACATTTTGTGGTGACCATAAAACTTGTGAACCCCAAAAACTGACCCATACAACATGCGTATATCAAGTGTAAACATAACCATTTCAACCAGGAGAAACATGCCCACTGTTGCGATTCCTACCTAAACACTTGACTGTCCCGATGGCGTGTGCAGAAGCTGCTCGAGGCTTGTTAGTTACCAGGGCAAGCTCTCCGAAATACTGTCCCCGAGAACATCGAGCGATTTCGACTGCTCCGTTCTCTTCCACTTCTGATTTCCCCTGTCAAGGGAAAAACAGAGGGTAACCTGAGCCTAAACTTAAAAAAAAAAAAAGAGGGAGACAGAGATTCTACTATGTTCCCTGCTAATATTATACGGGTTTTTTATGACTTAACAACACTTACCTTCCTTTTCATAGTAATTTTCACCTCTCCAGATTCTACAATGAAAAAAGAATCAGCCAAATCTCCCTACAAGAATAAAAACAAAACCAGGGTGAAAATGCATACTTATTTGACAGTAATCCGATTCAAAAGTGAAAACCCATCAAAACGGGGTATCTTAATTCCTAATTGAGAGGTTCCTGTTGACAATTTTATAGTAATGGTTTCATTTGTTAAACTGTTTGAAATCATACACTGCCTACTGCAGCATTTCTGCTAAAATATAACCAACCAGCAAAGAAGATATGGCAAATGACACTGGGATAAGGATTTCACCCAAACTTCAGCCTGAGTAACAGCCTACAGAGTTAGCAATGGCAACACTGCTCTGTGTCCCAGCAGCATCTTCCTGGTAAGGTGGAATGTGCCAAGAGATCCTGTGGCCTCAGGAGGACTACCTGTGGCCCCGTGTCCTCGTAACAAAACGAGCATTAGCACAGTGATTCAAAATGACCGGACTACTCACAAAGACGAGAAAGCAATCAGACCTTTTAGGAAGTAGGAGGTGTGGACCTGGGAGCTCTGGTGGCGTAGTGCTTAAGGCATTTGACTGCTAACCAGAAGACTGGTGGTTCAAACCCACCAGCCACTCTTTGGAAGCAAGATTGGGCAGTCTACTTCCACAGAGATAGCGCCTTGGAAACCCAAGGAGGGGTCGCCATGAGTCTGAAACAACTCATAGCAGTGAGTTTGGTTTTGAGGTGTGGACCTTGACTTTCACTGCAGTTATCAGGGACTAGACTCAGACTCCAAGCTGCTGACAATCTCCCTCAAGGCTTCTAACAGAGCTTTCAGGAGAATTTTACAGGATTGCCATGTCTAACTACATATGCTTTTTAAAATTTTTATTTCAAGAAAGTCTACCTTGATTTCCAATGATGCCTTCTGAATTAAAGACTATATATACACTATGATGATAACACATAGGTACTGACTCTCGAGCCTCTCAAACTGGTTCTGGAGAAACAGGATTTCAAAACTCTTTAGTATAATTCAATAAATTTAGTACATTCTATCACAAAAATAATGTTGAATCTAGACTTATATAACATAGTTACAAACATGTATGTGTATAAATAATTAAAAGACAACTATGATCTAAAAATATATTTAATAAACCCAAAGTTTCTAAGTTTAGACGCTCTAAGTTACATGCTCTAACTGCACATAAAACAGGATTGTACCAGTGGCAACTTCCTGGTTTGGATATTGTACTACAGTGATGGAAGATGTTACCACTGGGAAAAACTGGGTGAAGAGTACATATGACCTCTGCACTATTACATAACTTCCTGTGAATAACTATTTCAAAATAAAAACTTAAATAATCCTTTTAAAAGTGCTCTATTTTGTTCTCCATTGGTGGTCCAAAAGGTTAGTGCTTGGCTACTAACCAAAAGGTTGGTGACTTGAACCAACCCAGAGAAGCTTAAGGAGCTCTGGTGACATGGTAAACAAGGCATTTGGCTGCTAAGCAGAAGGTCAGCAGTTCAAACCCACCAGCCTCTCCATGGAAGGAAGATGGGACAATCTAGTTCCACAAAGATTTACAGCCTTGGAAACCCAATGGGGGTTGCTGTGAGTCAGACTCGACTTGATGGCAGTGAGTTTTTTTGTTGTTTTTTCCAAAGAGGTGCCTCAGAAAAGCCTGCTGATCTTATGAAAGGTCACAGCCGTGAAAAACCTACGGAGCACAGTTCTGCTCTGACACACAGGGGTCGCCATGAGTTAGCACCGGCTCAAATAGCAACTGGTGGGCTTTGTTATTTATCAGTTTCTAAAGCAGAACCTAAGCCTTGCTCCCTGGCTGCTCTAATCCTTATGTGTGTAGAAAAATAAAAAGAGAGAGATTTACTTGTTTGTCTTCCAACAATGATCCTTTCCTCAGCCTCACAGACCTTGAACCTTGTTTTATATGTGAAAGGAATAGTCAGTATCTTAGATGAAGAATGATAGAGTATAATACTAAGATCCAAAAAGTCAGTATTTTAGATGGAGAATGGCAGAGTATAATACTAAGATCCAAAAACTACAGAATCTATTTAGAAAATTCACTTGAATCACTTGCTCAATGCTTTAAAAAGGCAACTATGAAACACGGTGTTTATTACCTGCATGCTCTATCTGTGAACACCAACAACGTGCACCAGGCCTGCTTCTTGGTACCCCTCTTCTACTAAGGTATGTAAAACTATTGGTTCCAACTGGGATTTTAGAGAAGCTTTAGGGGTTAAATTACATGTAGACCCATTTAGTGCCCAGAGGCCAGTGGAGTTTATGGTGCAGTGTGTTTCCATCTGAGCTAATGTTATCAGGGAGCAGCCTCAGGAGGTTTCATCTTGAGCTCCTCGCACTCCTGCAAAACTCTACAATAGCCCCCAATGGACCTTCTGGATCCTCATTAACCTCGTGGAACACTCAACTGGTTTGTTCCTGTTATGAATGGCATCTCATTCTCTATATACATATGAATTTCACATCACGCACCAATATAAAATCAAGCAGAAAGCCATTGCATGGTTTCATGAATATTCATTAGTAGTTAATTATATAAGCAAAGACATGTAAACAGTTTAATGGCTATAAATCAAACCCTTTTTATCGGGTCAATTGGTAGAGGTAATATTTATTAAATCCACCACTACATAATTATAGAAATACTGAGAAAATTATCACCATTTAGAATGTATAAAAACCTTTTTGAATACAACCCCAAACTCCCTCACATAAAAAAAAATTATACCTGAGCAATGATTTGTTCTCCATCGTTGTACACTTTGGTGCCTATGACATCTACCACTTTCAGACGTTCGGAAAACTACACAGGAAAAAGGCAATACAAAGAGAAACAGACTAGTGGGTAATCTGAACTATTTCAAAGGTCAAAAACTGGTAATGTATAGATCAAATAAGGTCAGTGGTATGTGTGTGTTTATTATATTAACTAGTAGCATTTAAAAAGAAATCTCTCATCATAATTTGGACTTCCAGCTTCTCTTGAGAAAGAGAAGATTCAGCAATGGTTGGCCCGTATTTCCACACGGAAACAACAGACTGGGGTGGAATAGCAGTCCCTGTAGATGGAGCACGTGTCCTCCAAGTTATCAAAGTTCCCTCCTGCCTTGCTCTTCTCTTTACACTACTTGACTAGCTCTGAAGGTACTTGGATTTCCAACACCACGCCTGTTTATATTTAAAGAGATATGCCACTAGAGAAGATCAGCTGCCTAACGTGCATTCTGCAATGTGGCCAAAGAGTCCACCAGGCATAATCTGAAAACCCAACCAAGAGATACTAGAAAGGACAAGTACTAATATTAAGACATTCGCTGCTTTATAAGACATTGTGTCTACATATATATGTCTTCTTTAATTGCTTGAAAAATATTTCAAATATGAGACTAAAGTATATAGAAAAACATTCAGTTTAACAATGACGTATGGAGAGTAAAGTTGTATTTACAGGGTAACAAAACCCACTTTCTCTCTCTCCCCTAAAAGTCTCCAACTTCAGAGATAAAAGCCTAAGAGCTGGTCTCGCTGAGAAGACATCGGGTTAAGCAATGAAGGAGCTAAAGAAATGAGCCTGGGAGACATGTAGGAGGACATCTGAGACAAAGACAAAGTTTAAGTACAAAGGCCCTGAAGTAGGCAAGGGGTTGTCACATTTAAGAAGCAGTGAAAAAACCAGTATGTCTGGAGTGGCGTGATGAGCAGAGCGCAGTGGGAAACGAGGTCAGGAGAATGGAGTGGGCAGAGGGCAGACTGCGTAGGGCCTTGTGCTCTTTGTGAGGAAGGACTTAAAACAGAAGAGTGACATGGTCTATCTTGGGTGCTAACTGGATTATGCTGGCGGCTTCAATAAGCTAGACAAGAAGTGATGATGGCTCATACTATGATGATGGTAAGGAAACGGGTGGGAACGATCAGATGCGGGATATATTCTGAAGACAGAACAGATAAGAGTGCTAACAGATTGCACGTGGGTAGGGGAAAAAGATGAGTCAGTACCAGCTCCAAGGTTTCTGGCCTGAGACACTAGATGAGGGAGCTGCCGTCTACTAAGATGAAGACAGGGTAGGAGTAGACTTGGGATATGTTAGTTCTGAGGTGTCTATTAGACATCCAAAAGGAGATGTTAAATAGGCAGTTGGGTAGATGACTCAGAATTCAAGGGAGAAGCCTTACTTGGTGATGTCAATTTAGGAGGCATCAGCATAAAGGTAGCATTTAAAGCCAGAGGACTTCACAAGCTCACCAAATGAGTAAACATAGACTGAAAAGGCCAAAGGACCAAAGATAAGCCCTGGAATACCAACTTTAAGAGGAAAGGAAAGGGGAATTAAACAGCAAGGGCAGCTGAGAAGGAGAGATGAGGACATCCTGTAGTTAGATAACTCTCCCTATGAAGGTCTATCTACACATCTTTATCTATACGTTTAAAGTATAGAAAGGATACCGTTGACTTCTTTTACGCGATTGTGTTAAGTCTGGTTTAAAATAAAGAGCACATCACCACTTTGAAAGGGGTCGTAATAGGAAGCCCAGGATGGAGTGGGAGCAAAAAATGTGGAATAAAACTCAAAATTATAAAAAACACCACACTTTTTGTTCTGATGAAGACGGTGGAACCCTTGAGACTATGGCCCTTAGACACCCTTCAAGCCTGGAACACGCCCCCTCCCCTCCCCCATGACTCAACTCTCAGCCAAAGAAAAGACAGTATTACAAGCTAAACAATTAACACCAGGGAGGAACGCATTCCTTAGACCAACCAACCATATTCAAGGATCCCAAATCAAAAGGGGTAGCATTTGCCCAGGGATAAAGCTCAGAAGACAGGAAAGAAGGATAAAGGGAAGTGGTAAACACAGGAGGAAGTCGGAGGAGTGCTGCCATGCTGTGGCGATTGCAATGAATGTCACAAACAAAATGTGTATGAATTGTGGAATGGAAAACCACTTTGCTCTGTAAGCTTTCACCCAAATCACAATAAAACAAATAAACAAATAAATACTGAGTTATAAAAACAACATTATTTGATTTTTCCAAATGAAAATATGGACACATTTTTATTCAAAGGAACTTTTCCAAAGAACTAAAAATTCCTAACAAAATAAAAACTTTTAAACTAAAATACAATAAAAGCATACACATATACAAACTTACCTCCAAAGATTTAAGGAATGGCAGTGATTCAATAAAGCTTTCATACATTTTTCTCTTTTTGGCATTGTTTTTTACAATTATTCTCCTGAAGGTTACCCTGTCCTAAAGGGGGAATATCAAAATACAAAGACAGATAAAAGGTAAATTTTTATGGGAAAAAAATACTGTTTGAACATGTAATTTCATTTTATTTATTAAAGGAACAAACAATAATTGAAAAATTTGAAAAGAAGATTAAAAAATTGTACTCTTAGTGTAACTCATTTCAGATTTTTATTTCTTCAAGCATAAAGCATAATATAGAACCATGTAAAGTATTTTTTCTTTTTTTAAAGGATGCATCAGTTCACTCTTACCCAGAAGAGATTCAACCAACTTATAATTGAGCTATACCCACAAGGAGGCGCTGTTTCACCATTTTTATATACAATTATATATATCTTTTAATACAAAATGTATATAAATAAAATCTGCTGCCATCCAATTTTGACTCATAGCAACTCTCCAGGACTGCCCCACAGGGTCTCCAAGGCTACACATTTTTATGAAAGCAGCCTGTCTCATCCTTCTCCCAGAGCAGCTGGTGGTTTACAAACTACCGACCTTTTGGTTGGCAGTGAAAGGTTTTAACCACTGTACCAGCACAGCTCCTTTATGTGTCTGTGTGTGTGCATGTGTGTGTTAACACAGGGTTCTTTTTCTGTGAGGTCCCAGAAGTTTGCAAAAGTCAATCGGGTGGCACATGACCAGTATTTTCATAAAAAATAAAACAGAACAGAAATCTCTCACAGCATTGTTATTTATTTTTGTTATACACAAATCCTCACATACACACAAAAAGTATGTACTGGTCATGGTGTTTCTTACTGTGTTTCTCAATGAAGGTTACAGTAAACAATATAGGAAAAACACTGTTAGAAAATGTTTTAAAATCATAAGTAATTACAGCGTAAGAGATCTTTAGAGATGATTTTTGGCAGGTTCTCTGTCACATCCACGGTATGTCAGAGTTTTCTTTAGAAAGATCTGAAAGCCCAGAGACACTCCAGCCTTTTGAGTAAGGTCTAAGTCTAGTATTTCTCATGTTCCTATTTACATTTTACTACATTACTTCAAAGATACAGAACTAGCAAAATTCTTCAGGGTACCAGTTCAAAAAATTTTTTCTGGTAAATTTTATTTAAAAAAATTTCTCACAAAACATTATTTTAATTCTTAAATAAGAACCCTATAATTATGTTAGTTTGGTATCCACTGTTAAACAATTATACTATTCTAATAAAATAAAGCTCACTGGGTATGTTATGTAACTAATAAAACACTATGCCAACATATTTAAGACTAAATTTAAATGAACTGGTGAAATGTGGAAAAATGCCAGTGTGTAAGTCCCTAGGAAATTAAACATTCTGTTCCCCAATTTAGTTTATTACAATTTTGTATTGCCTGCAATTTGGACTTTAATAATTTAAAAAAGAGAAAAATTTACAGAATAATTATTTCAAAAAGATTAAAATAATTTCCCAATCTGGCTCTGCAAGAGAATCAACTGCAGTGCTTAAAAAAGGGGGGGGAGGGTTTGAGTTTTTCTGAGGTCCTAGTTTTTAATGAGTCAAAATCCCTATTTATAGATACAACCAAACTCATTGCTACAGAATTGATTCTGACTCACAGTGACCCCCACACTGGGTTCCAAGGCAGTAAATCTTTATGGAAGTAGATTGTCCAGTCTTCCTTCTGCAGAGTGGCTGGTAAGTTTGAACCACCAACCTTCTGGTTAGCAGTCAAATGCCTTAAGCATTATGCCACCAGAGCTCCTTATTTACAGATACATATTGTTTTGGTTACCTAGTGGCATTCTGACAAGAATATACCACAAATGGGATGACTTGAACAAACAGGAGTTTATTCTCTGGGAGGGTTAAAGTCCAAGTTCTAAGTGCCAGGCTCTAGGGGCTGGGTGAAAGCCCCTCGACCTTGGGCTTCAGCTCTGCCTCTTGTTCCCAGCCCACTGAAGCTAGAGGCATCTCTTCACTCAGGCAGCTGCTGGCTGCTGAGGCTAATAAGCCCAAAGTCGACAAATAAAACTGCACAGTCCCGATGTTACCAAACCACATGGCAGGCCATTTTTTCAAGTCCACTTAAAGTCCCAAGGTTGGCAGAGCATGGCAGGCTGCTGAACAACGACACAGCTACATGCAGGGTTCAAGCGTGCCATAAGCTAGAGACCATTCCCAAAGTTGCTTCTTATATATGGGAAGCAGATCACATACCCAAAGCAGCTACTTAGCTGCTCCAATGGATTCCACCACAGAGTTAATTACCAATCTCGCACGGGGAATAACTACATCCAGCTGCCCAGCCAGTCAACCAGGTCCAGCCAAGTTGACACACAAACTTAACCACCACATATATGAGCTATATTTCATAAAAGGTTAACTAATTCTGACAGTCAGGTTTGCAGATTAGTTGCAACACTGTTTTTAGAAAAGAGGTTATTGCAAAACCAGAGAAGACCAGAAATAGTTTAACAATTTAGAAATTAATCATAATGAGCTATATGTCTCTGGAAGATTGTTCTATTAGAAGCTCACCCCTTCATATCCACTGAAATATATAAAGTCCAGAAAGTCCAATTTGAAATACTTTCATCCTAGTCATTTCAATGAACCATCAGCATGGTCTTGTAGATTGGACAATATTCTAAGGTTAACAGTGACCAAATATTTACAAAGTTAGACTATTCCATAAAAGACTTTTGCAATTTGTTTATCTTACATCTGTACTTATACACTAGAGTGCCAACTGTTGACCATTAAGAGAACATATTTTTTTCTACTTGACTTTCTCTGACAAGGGACTAGTTAGACAAGTTGCTCTTTAAACAACAGGTTTATCAAAAACAAAAAGGCAAACAATCCAATTTGAAAAGGGCAAAGGTCTCGAACAGACATTTCACCAAAGATATACGAAGGAAATGCAAATCAAAACCACAATGAGGTACCATTTCATGCACATTGTTGTTATGATGTGCCATCGAGTCAGTCCTGACTCATAGTGAGCCCTCCTTGGGTTGCCGAGGCGGTATTACTATGGAAGTAGATTGCCCAACCTTCCTTCCAAGGAGTGGATGGTGGGTTTAAACCATCAGCCTTCTGGTTAGCAGTCAAATGTCTTAGGCACTATGCTACCAGAGCTCCCATATTAGGATGTCTATTATCAAAAAAAGAGGGCAAATGAGTGTTGGAGAGGATATGGAGAAATTGACTCTCATCCATTACTGGATGGGAGTAAAATGGTGCAGCCACTGTGCAAAACATTTTAGTGATTCCTCAAAACATTAAACAGAAAGAATTACCAGATGACCTTCCAATTCCACTCCTGGATAAATGCACAAAATACCTGAAAGCAAGAACTCGGATACTTAACTATCGATGTTCACTGAAGATTTATTTACAATAGCCAAAAGGGTGAAACAACCCAAATGTCTATCAACAGATGAACAATAAACAAAATGTGATGCATAATACAATGGAATATTATTCAGCCATAAAGAAATGAAGTTCTTATACATGCTACAATATGGATGAACCTTGAAAATATTATGCTAAGTGAATTAAATCATACTCAGAAGGACAAATACTGTATGATTCCACAGCATCCCACAACAGTGGTTACCAGGTTAAAACAGTGGGGAGAATGGAGAGTTATTGTTTAAGGGGTACTGGATTTCAGCTTGGAATGAGAACTTTTTACTTTTGTGCATGTACACTAAGGTAATTATCACAAGCTACCCATTTTAAAAGCTTGTTGTTGTTGTTGTTGTTATGTGCCGTCGAGTTGGCCCCGACTCATAGCGACCCCTCCTTGGGTTTCTGAGGCAGTATCACTACGGAAGTAGGATTGCCCAACCTTCCTTCCGAGGAGTGGCTGGTGGGTTTGAACCGCCAGCCATCTGGTTAGCAGGCAAGTGTCTTAGTAATATGTATAAAAACCAAAAACCAAACCCACTGCCATTAAGTTGATTCCAACTCACAGAGACCCCATTGGGTTTTGAAGGCTGTAAATCTTTATGGAAGTAGATTGCCTCATCTTCCTCTCATGGAGCAGCTGGTGGGTTTGAACCACTGATGTTCTGGTTAGCCGCCAACTGCATTACCCACCACACCACCAAAGTTCCTTCTTGTTGTTGTTGTGTGCCGTTGAGTCGGACCCGACTCACAGTGACCCCTCCTTGGGTTTCCGAGGCAGTATCACTATGGAAGTAGATTGCCCCATCTTCCTTCCGAGGAGTGGCTTAGTAAATAGTAAAAATCTTTGGAAATGCTCAGTCCTTCTTGAGAGTAAAGCAGTATACATACACACTGGGAAAGGATGGGCCTTTACATCTCATCACGGCTTCCACCAGGGCTGGAAGCTTTCAGCATCCCAAAGTGACATCTTACTGTGTGACAATCTCATCTTGGGTGGCAACTCCATTACCAAAAACCAAACTCACTGCCATCAAGTCGATTCCAACTCATAGCAACTCCCTTTGGGTTTCCAAGGCATTAATCTTTACAGAAGTAGATTGCCCAGTCTTCGTTCCACGGAGTGGCTGGTGGGTTTGAACCACCAATCTTCTGCCTAGCAGTCAAATGCCTCAGGCACTATGCCATTAAATTTTTAAATAAAGCTTTCCATACTAAAACAAGGCATACTATACTCTAGATTTATTTGACTAATTTGATGACATCAAACACTTCCTGTGGACCATGCTTGCTCTGGTTTGGAAGGGGTTTTTTTTTCATTTTTTTTGCTGGCTTTAGGTATTCAAATCTTCGACAATCCTTAAAACACTTCAGATAATAAGTCTTCTTCCACCAGAAACAATTCCACTTCTCCTTCTACAACTTAAAAGTGACTCATCACATTTCTAAGAAGTATACAGTAACAGCCTGGTTCTAATAAAAAGAAATATAAAATATTTCTTGTTCCTCTGATCAAGAGATATTTTTATCACCAAGTTCCACTTCACAGTCACAGTGTGAGTCATGACTGAGCAGTGTCTAACATCTGTAATGACCAGCCCTTGGAAACAAGACTGTTAACAAACTTCATATTAACGCAGTCTTCCTTCCTTCCACAAAATAATTTGAGAGAAATGATCCAATAAATGCACGTCAAGATCACAGAGTGAACTGCTTTTAACAACTGAGGAATCAAAACAGTGCCTCCTAAATCAATGCAACTTCAAGTGTGGTCTGAGCACCAGGCGGCAGTGGTACCACACTGGGTGCTCAAGGGTCCTTGCGAGCAACACAGGATCTCAGGCCCCACCCTAGACCCACTGAACCAGAACCTACATTTTCACAAGATTCTCAGATGATTACTGTCTTCCAGAATCAGCTCTACTGGTACCTGCTACTTTGCATCCTGAAAGCATCTGTGAAATGAATCTCCTCCCAAATATGTCTTTAAACCAATGTGTAGGTCTGGTGGAAATAGCACCATTAAGAAATTTACGTTAAAAGCACTAATGCCCAGGTCCCACCCCCTGAGGTTTTGATTAAATTGGTCTCAGGTGAGGCCTGGGCAAGAGTTTGTTTGTTTCTTTTTTAAAAAGCACTCTAGATAATTCTGATGTGCAGCCAGGCTTTTTACCACAGCCATGGAGCAGTTTTTCTGTACTGCAGCTGCTTTTAAATGCAAAGTCATTACTAACAATTTATACCACCCAGACAATCTGTTTGTAGTGGTTTCTCAGACTCTGGCACATACCCTGATGACCAGGAGGGCTTTGCTCAAACACAGTGAGGACACTCCACTGTCCCGGTTTCTGATTAAGTCTGGGGTGTGGGCCCCAGAATTTGCATTTCTAACAAGTTCCCAAGAGATGCAGCTGTTCCTGGTCAGAGGACCACACTTTGGAAACCACTGATTCATCACATTATAAAACTCACCTCAAAGCCACCTGAGAAAACAGCACTAAAGGCTTTATTTGTTTGGCCGGCTGTTTTTTAAGAGTGGGTAGGAGAGGAACATTTTGGGTCTGAGTGACTTTCCCAGGGCCGGCAGGTCCTGAAGGCTTCTAACTGGACTGCGGGAGTGGGGAAAGGACACGAAGACTTAACTCCACATTCTTGGTGCCCTGTAACTCAGCATCCAATAGCTGCTTAATAAATTCTCAGTAAGAGATGATCCTAAATACACCTACCTGTTAGATTAAAATATTGTCTCAACTTAGCTGTTGTCATATTTTTTTTTAACAAATAATAGTATTCAAATCAAATAAATAGTTTACTCACCAAACCCCACAGAGCACCAGGAGAGGTAGCAGTGATTGTAGCTGCTCTGGGTGTATTGTACATTAAGGCCAGTTCGCCAAAGCTTCCACGATTATCGTAGTTACCAACACATCTTCCAACACCATCACATTTTACATAAATATCAAATGTTCCTCTGTTGAGCATATGCAAACGAAGGTAAAAGTAACGCCCATTAAATCCCATTACAGTAATGCATTATCTTAGAGCAGTGTCCTGGGCTATAACACCTTTTTTCCCTGCCTTCCTCTGCCTCTCTGACAACAGGAAGCAATAAAAGGGCATCATCATGCACCAGAGGCACCATCTGTTCCAGGCGAGCATGTAGAGACCATCAACTAGATTAGGGTATGGACCATACAGGCTTCTGTTAGGGAAAATGAGACTAAACAACAAACATTTAAGACAGTAACATAAATGACAAGGATATGATTAAGAATACAACCAAATGGTATATGCATACACAACCAGTAGAGGAACACATATCAAACCACGGACAGCGGCTCTCTGAGGGAGTCCAGAGACCATCCCTAAGTTAAAGAGGGTCTGCTTCTAAAATGAACAGACTTCTTCTGTAATCAGAAGAAAATAACTTAAAAAATATATATATATATTATACACCTGTAACAATTTGGTTAACTACTATTATGCAGTTCTTGCTAAGGGCCTTTATAATCTAAAGCAAGGGGTCAGTCAACGATGCTTTTGTATGTCTGCTTACTCGTATACAGGAAGTTTGACTGGAACACAGACACACTTACTTGTTTATGGATTACCTCTAGCTACTTTTGTGCCACAATACCGAGGGCTGAGTAGCCGTGACAGAGAACACAGCCTACAACACCTACCGTATTTTACTCTCTGGCCCTTTACAGAAAAAAAATCTGCCAACCCTTGATCTACAGTAAAATGTGGTAGAAATCCAGACTAAATATCTGATACTGCCCTTTTTAGTTTGTGTGTGTTTTCAATTGGGTTCTTTTTTTAGGAAAATAAAACTTAGCCTGAATATCACTGTCCTATCTATTAACCAGTCCCTGTATTTATATAAATTACATTCTCAGGTGGGTGACCGCATTTCCACACACTATGTTTTACCAGAGTGAACATGATGTCAAGGTCTGAGGAAGGACCTGTGAGGGCACAGAGGGGGAATTATTTAGGTTTATTCTGTAGCTAAACCCTGACAAATACAAAATTTTTTAAAAACGTTGGCAGGAAAGGGAATGGCTTTTAAGATCAGAAAGAATTAAGTATGGTAAAGGAATAGGAACAAAACAGTAACACTAAAAACACAAGGTAACAGACACAGGGTATTAAGAATAAAGGAAGAGAATAACTGATGGTTAATATAATTCAGGGATACAATGGCTGTTCCAAGATTACCTTCTAGGATTTGTTCCACGAATAATTTTTTTTTCAACTATGGACAAACTTTCTCTTCTGCACTAAAACTGTTCACTACATTTACTATTTTGAATGGGATAAATGTGCAGACAAGAGTTAACCATGTTACCAGTCCAGCTGGAATCACACCATCTAAAATCTGTTCAGACACTGTGTGTTGCTTTTCCACATGGCTTTCTCTCTGAGATACATGAGACCTCCGGCAGTCTCTTCCTGGGAAGAGTCTGAGCAGAGGCCAGGAGATCTGCCTGTGGCGTCAGCTCTATACTGACTGCGTGACCTTAACTGACACTTAACTGAGACTTGTCACTTCTGTGATCCCCAGTCGTTTCATCTGTCCAATGGGTGAGTAGGATCAAACTGAAAAGGGAATGTACTACACTCAAATGGAACACAGTTCTTAAAGTCAAAATACATACTACAGAAGATGAAGACTGAATTGTGTTTGGGATTCTCATATACCATGTATACTACAATCCAATACAATTGAACAGCTGAGTGAATTTCTGAGGTGTTCCACTGATGACAGCTGTTAACATGACGCCAAAATCATGACTTTAATTGGGGTATCTGGTTTTGTTCTTTCCAAAATCAAAGTATATCTCAGTCCTGGCTGGAGCCTTGGCAATAGGTCTATAGGCCACCAAGGAAAGGAGGAGGGAAGGAAGGAATTAGTGAAAACCCTTTACTACTCCAGGAATAAAAGATTCAAGGAGCTTATGTATGAAAGATACTGCCCATAAATGAAAGATGAAACTAAGGCCTCAGGAGACAGAGGAGCATAATTTTCAGTAAGGCCACCGAGTTGAACACAACTCTATCCAGAGAAGATGACGGAATCCGATAAATCAGGCTTGGAGAGGACCTGATAGTACCAACTGCCTAGAAACACTTCATCATCGTTTCATAAAAGTGAAAAAATAAAGGCTCACTTCAAATCGCTTCCCTATTACATTTTAAGACTCAACTAATTATTGTTTAAGGCACATTGTTCTTTGATGAGGTAAATAAAGCACAATGCAATTTCTCTGAAATCAGATTTTCAATATAAATAAAGCAATTTCTCTATAAAGTATTTCAAAGACAAATATAATTACACATAAATAATTTCTGGACACACAGAAACTACTCACTCTACTGACTGCATGGCTAAAGCACTAGAAAGAGATTGACTTTTCACCTTAGACCCTTGTGAAATACTTGAATTTTTTAAACCATAAGGAAGTTACACTTTTATAGTAAATGAAGTTTTTATAAAAGCATTTTTAAAAACATAGTAACAGAGATAGATTTATATTATAATTCAAATACTACCTAGATTCTGTATTACACTTCTAATCTGTACTGTAATAGGAATCTATGACATACTAATATTGTTAAATATTCTCTCTCAAATGGAAGTTAGCAAATGAGGAGGCTCTCAATAAATTACTGAGATTCGTAGAGTAAGCTAACCGAAACGAATCAGGTCCTTCTCTAAATTAGGCCTCTTTCCTTGATCTGCTGTGGTTTCACTGCATATATTCACAGAACACTTACTGTGCCTCTGATGTAGTAATAAAAGTAAAGAGGCAAGACCAACTGTCACATATTCATTTTCATTAGCTATTATAACCATTGACATTTCACACAGAAGGTTCTTTAACTTTCAGTAGTGAGGTTATGTAATACTTACCTATCAATTACATAAAAGTTGTCCCCATCGTCACCTTGATCAATTACATGTTCCCCTTCTTTGACCAATTTTTCAAACATGGCATCTAATACTTGAGACATCTGTTCCTATTGTTAAAAAAATAAGTATAATCTTTATGTTTATCTAGACTATTTCCTTAAATAACCATAATTAGCTTTATATTCTGTGAACAAAATCAAAGAAATGGAAATGTTGCCATTATGTCTTGTCAGAAAAAATACATAGTGCAGGTTTCCTTACCACATACAAACGAGATGATTATATATTTACTCTCATATTCAGTATCTGAATGCAAGTAATTATAATTAGCCTATTTTAGAATATTTGCATCTATCACCACTTCATAAAAATTACCCACCAAACTACCAATACAATCTTAGCACCTAAAATGACCAAGTCAGTAAGAACTACTAATCCTAGTTTCTTTTCAAGACACCCATCACATTGTTGGTAAGTTCCCCACGTTACTCATCACTAGAGTTTATGTAGAGATTACCTAAATACTTGCTGAGTTATGATCTCGACTCTAATATATTATTATATATATATTTGGTTTAGCACCAAAACCAAAACAGAAAACAAAACAAAGCAAAAACAAAACTATTACAGAAAATATTCTATTACTCTCTGCCCAATAAGTTTCCCTCAGGAAGCAACCATTTCCTGCCCAGAAGCAGATTTATCAAAACTGAAGCCAGAAACATCGTAACTATTCTTCAATGACTACTTAAATGATACATAACTTTTTAATTCTGCTAATGTGTGGTAGTGCCTAAGGCACTTGACTGCTAACCAGAAGGCTGGCAGTTTAAACCCACCAGCCACTCCTCGGAAGGAAGGTTGGGCATTCCTACTTCC